CGAATTCGAGCTCTTCTAATCTAATTCATTAATTCACCAGTTTTCAAAAAACTTGTCCGTTTGTCGAACGCGACTGATCAAAATTTTTCTCCTAAAGTCCCGTCTTATCGTATAAATTACATATAATTGGATTGTGCATTCTCTTGAAATCGACTTTCAAAAGAATGATTGTAAAATATTTTTTCCACATGCAACTACATAATGACACCATCTCAAATCAGTATCCTTGATCCACTTTTTTGTAGTAGATCACCATCTAAGCAAAATTCATTCGAAAAAAAAGAAAACATGTTATATGATCATCATAAGATATTCTTTTAAGTTTTTCTTATCAGAAAAAAATAATAATAAAAAAAGTTAGCTTATCTAAATTAGATAATTGATAGATACAGATATATATACAATACACAACAAAAGTAAAAATAAAACATAATCGTCAATTTCAAAAGCTTTAACAAGTAGTTAAATTAATTGCATTCGACATGTTAAACGTTCCATGTGGTTGTTTGAGTACAACCATTGTTAGTCGAAAATAGATTATCGAAAAAACAATCGTACTAACAAATACTAGTGTAGCAGCAGCCATTTGAAGAATAACTATTTGACAATGAGATGTTAATTCACGTGTTGGTTCACTTGGTTTTGTTATACATCGTTTTCGATATAAATCACTATGTAACAATATTTCAGTAATTGTAAACATTAATGCTGAATTTGAAAAAAAGAAGTTTCATTTAAAATAAAATAAAATAAAATCATTTTTCTTACCAACTAATTGAAAAATCAATATAACTGATGTTTGATGACGTTCACGATCAGTACCCATAACTAAACATAATAAAAAAAAAGACTATAAAAGAGACAATTAATTGTTTTTTATTTTCAACAAACCAAGCACAATAATAGCAGCACCAGCAAGTGCATAAATAACACCACACCAAAGTCCTAGAGCAATATCGAAAGTAAATAATTCAAGGGCAAGTACAATTAATCCAGCAAATAATTCAAAAAAGCCAAGAATCGCTACTGTTACAAAAGGAAATTTTCTTTGAAACGGAGGAATAATTGATATCGCATTTATATTATTTTTGGAAATAGTTTTAATTTGATCGGATAAATTCGACTCAAGTGATACATAGACAGGTTGTTGTTGCTGTTGTGTATTGTTTTCATATGATGATCGTACAGGTGACGAAGGAATCGTCTCATAGTGGTAAACAAATGATTTCGGAATATTTATATCTATTGAAAAAGAATATTTTGTGGTAATTAATGAATTGAATTTTGAGAAAAACTTACTTTCATACATTGAAGTATAAATTTAAACATTGAATCGAAAGAAGCAACGTGCACATGTCGAATGAAAGATATAAATGATTATAATAAATATGATACGATCGAACGAAATTAAAAGCGATGTTGAACAAGAACAAAAAAAAAATACACGTGTTTTATTACAAATTGAACTAAGAAATGTTCATCGAACGAAAAGATAGAGAAGTTAATCGTTAAAGTATTTTTTATTGTTTAACTGAAACAAATAAGTTAAAAGCTAAGAAATAACAAATTTAAGCTGAAAAATTGTTATGTCATTTTATGGAATTCATATTTACACTCACGGAGAATAGTGAGTGTAAGTTTAAATAAAGATCTCAGCAACTCTTCCTTTCTCGGCCTTAGCAACACAATTCAAAGGTCAGACATCAATGAATATGTTTTCATAGCAACAGATGGAGGAGATCGATGGTCATTGAATATGTTCCTGTAGTAGTCGGGGACAGCCGTCACCCTACGACTTTGCCAAAGTTAGTTTACAACAGACGAATTTTTTCTAAACTTTTCTCTTTAGTTTGAGAAGATAAGGATTGAAATGTTGAACACACAATTTTCATTTAATACTACGAGCATCGCTCATACTCAGTCAACAAAAACAAGGATATGGGTGTGTCTTCTCACCAATATCCACACCCTTCTTCTATGATGTCTGAGGAAATCAATTTTTTATCCCAATCACTACATAGAATCTTGTTTGTAACGAAAAATACTAAATAAATAACCTATTCACGTATACTTACACAAGGAATCAGCATTCATTTATTGTTTTTTTACGATTTTTTTGATTTTGTTTGCTGATATCACTAATATGTGAGAACTAATTGTGTACAATTTCGCACTATAGTCAAAAACAATGCATAAATACAGCTACAGTAGTAATCAAGAAATTAGAAAAAGTTGCAGATGATGATATTGTTTTCTGCTATGACAATCATGTAAAAGACAGAAAATGATGATATCAATTTATTTTAGAGCCCGTTTATAGAATAAGTAATTAAATCCGAATATTTCATATTAAAATGATTTCTGTCATTTTTTGTCATGTATATTTTGAAGAAATTGTTTTTAAAAAGTATATTGTTAAACAGCTCGAGTTCCAATTTTTTAGGAATCGAAATTGAAACCATTTTTTTTTCAGTTTTACTAACCAGTTCCGGGTATATTTTGGAACCGCTGGACTTTAGTGGAAAATCAGATCATTCTAAGATATTTAACAAATCAGTAAGATTTGCTAATTGAATAAAAAGGCAAGGTAAAAGTGATTGAAAATTTAGGACAGGTCCTTCGCCATATTAGAAAAGTTATCAAAGGTTTCTCCTGGTATAATCTGTTTTCGATTTTATTGTCGAAATTTGATGAATGCTTACAGAAGAGACAGAAACTACTCATACATCGTTTTGTATGAGTAATGCAATAGTATCGGAAAGAAATTATTCCTCGAAAGAACCGATCTGAGAAGTTTTTTCATTACCTCGGTTTCGAGGATGTTTTTTGAAATGTAGGTTTCAAGTATAATTCGCTTTGGATTCCTCGCTCTATTCTTATCTCAACGAGGAGTCTCATATTCGTAATTGTTGGGTTGTTACTAGTGATGCTTTTCAGTTAGGTTTGACTATTGTCAGACAAGTAATAGATAGGTAGTCATGGAATAGTATCGAGATAATGTCGATACAAGTACATAGCATGTTCATTTCATTAACACTCTTCAAAATAAACTATAAATTGCACAAGTGCCGCTCGTTACTGCCACGCGAGCTTTGGTGTGGATGTCAATGTGCGTGCGGTGTAATGCTTCTATTCACTATTCAAGTAATCACACTCATGTTTGCATATTCATACCCAACATCAACCATCGCATCATCATATACGCATCCATCCTCTCATTCACGCGAACATCATATACTCACACCTACTCCCACAAGAAGCATGTCGTGTGCGGCTTTGTACTACATAAATTGTGGTTTTTTAGTACTCTATATACGCGTCGGTTTATACCAGCATAGAGTGACGTGAGCTCTGCAACATTTCAGCATACAGCTCCTCGAAGCGCAATGTTCCTGGAGTTTGGAAAAGAGTCCAGGCCATTTGTTTCACTTGAATCTGCGAAAGATTCACATGGCAATAAAATAGACTGATGCAAGTTTAAAGTTTTTAATACCACGATTTTGATACTAGTTTAATAAATTTCAAGGCATGATTTTGAAGTATAACATATCAGTTTGATTTCAGTCATCATTTTTCTATGAGAAAAGTTTCATTGAACTAGTGTAAAACACATCTTTTTTGCATTTTTTTATTTCATAGGAAGGAAACTAATAATGTAGTTTCAGTTTAAAAAGAAAAATGTCTGTTCGAAATGCAGAAATAAACACGACAAATAGTTTCTCTAGAAACCCATTATTTTTTTGAAAACAACCATAGTCTTCTAGAGAATTTTCATTTTATATATTTTGTATAAGTATAATGGTGCTAAAGGAGACGTGTGAATTCCACATTTTAGCTCCGAAGCGGCTATATTGACAAGTCTTATAAATAATAAAATGTTCAACAAGAATGTATTGTCTTCATGTATGTCATAATATATTGAGAAGAGCACAATATCTAACTGTTGAACATCATTCTATTTCATATTTTGAAGATGATTAAGTTTCTATGACAATCTAGACTCAAGTTTCAATTTTCTTACTATATCAAAACATATCATTCTTTTGCTTCTCGTTTATTATAAGAAATTGTTCGTTGAGGTTCAAATAAAATCTTTATTTAATTAGTATTCTTATTGAAATTTTTTACTCAGTAAGTTCTTTGAATTTCGAAATCCTATTATAGTCCATTTGGAAAAAAATCAAGAGTAAATATGATCGAATATAAACAAGTAACAGACTGCTTTGTTATTAGCCATTCAAGGACACATTGGAGAAATTTTCTCAGTGCTAGACTTTTTCTTTTTTTTTAGTTATTTTTCTTCATATGATGTAATAATCGTTGAGTTAGAGATAGACAGTTCAAAGCAACTTTTGACTTTAATTACATGTATTAAAGTCTTTGAGTTGCCCAGGTGTGATAGATTTCGTCATAAGTCTATTATACAATAGATTTTCTCTTTGGACCAAAGAGAGATTCTTTCGTTATCAAAACACACTCATATTTGCTTCACAAAACTGAAAATGATATATCACATGTTATATGCATGATACGCAGCCAGAATTATTGACATAGCTACAAAATAAAAACCTTTGATCTGATTGGTACCAAGAGAATAGAGAGAAAATTGAAAAACATTTTATTCTTAATGGAAAAAGGAACACCAAAAGTCATACGTGCAGCCTATTATCGAATGTTGTTATCAATATACTTAGAACTAATCATAGAGCAAAGAGTCGAAATCTTCTATAAATACCTCTGAAAAAGGATTATAAAGTATTTTCTAGTCATATAAATTCTTAATTTTATCGTTTTTTTTGTAATAGTGACAGATATTGTTCGTTTGTACTTTTCTTCTCAATTTGTACCCATATGATCGTCTAATAAAAGGGTAGTTATAAATCACTTCATCTTATTTTTGTTTTATATGTTATCATTTACATCATTTATTTTTATTGACTCCCAGATAAATTTTAACTAACGAGAAGTACTACAAAATGTATCTTCATTAATATTCAATTATGATATCGAAAGAGAAGATTTTTTTTGAAGAAAATCAAGATAAATTGGAATATGATGATGTTTCTATTGAACCATGTGTTTTTATTTCTCCAGCTGTATCAACCTTGAGTATTGATGATTTATCAATTAAAAAAAGTTCATTGGAAAAAAATATCAGTTGCTTTACTCGTTTTTCTGGTATAATCTATACATTAACATCATCACTTATTTTTACTTGTACAGCATTTTCAATAAAACAATTAGGTATTGATTTACTTGATGCATTCTTTTTACGTTTTATTGTTCAAATATCAAGTATACTTTTATTTGCACTATATAAACATTATCCATTAATTTCTGGTACAAGTACTCAAATATTTTTACAAATTCTATGTTGTACAACAGGTGCTGGATGTTTTGTCTTATATTTTTTTGCTGTACGTTATGTTGAATTATCTGATGTAACAACTATATTTTATACAAGGGTAGTTTGGACAGTTGTTTTTAGTATTATTATTTATCGAGAACGGCCATCAATAGGTTCATTGATTGCTTTACCTCTTACTATATTTGGTGTTATTTTTGTTAGTCAACCAAGTTTTTTATTTTCATCAACAAATCCTTCGATTATTATTGTTAATAGTAAACATCGTTTACTTGGTCTTTCTCTAGCGTTTGCTAGTGCATTAGCATCATCAGCAAATGTTCTATCATTTAAACAACTTGTTTCAACATCTAAACCAATCAAACCAAGTATAGTTAATCTTCAGTACTGTGTAGCTATATTTATTTTTCTTACTATTTATCAATCATATAAAACATTTTTTCTTCATAATGGTCTCACATTTAATTATATTCTATCATGGCGATATTTATTAGCATCTATACTTTGTCTCACTATGATTATCTCAAATATTTTATCACAAACAGCTATTAAACGTGAACATCCAGCTATATTTTTACTTCTTGCTTCAGCTGATATCATTTTTTCATTAATTCTTCAAAATATTTTTACAAACAAACGATCAAATTTATTTGCATTGCTTGGTTCAGCTTTGGTTATTCTTAGTGTAGTTATTCTTGGTTTATCAAAAATTATTACTGAACGACGTGCACAAAGGAAAATTGAATTGATGGATATTGAATCTATGATCAATGATTTTAAAGAAAAAAAATAAATAGTGTGAAGATTTTTTTTGTGATTTTTTGAATATATTTGTATTTCATTCAAGAAAATTCATCGTTTCTTTTTTTTTCTCATAATATAATTTTTTCATTTGAAAAATGAATACATAAAATAGTTTCTAAATAAACATGAAAATTTGAAATTTTATCAACCGATAATGTTCATCTATGGATTGACATTAATAAGAGAAAATGATAGCTGTTGCACAAATGTTTTTAATTTACTGATAGTTACGCTGATATTCGTATTAAGTAAAAAAAAACATTTATCCTTTTCATGAAATTCTTTTAAACAACAAATTTATTGTGAAATTCAAACTTAAAAAGAAACAACAAGAAAAAACAATCGTAACTTGTGTTGATTCTATTCTTTTCATATTAAGTGTATTTAGATATTACAGCTTACATAAACAAATACTATTCTAAGTCTACAATTGAAATAAAACGATAAAAAGATATGAAAACAGCATCAATCAACAGAAAAAAAAGATGATAAGTTTTTCTTTTTTTTTTTTCATCTGCTGTTTTGATTTTCACATAGTTCAATCGGATTCATAAAAGGAAATTGAATTTTCAACAAAATAATCATAAATACGTCTACGCATAGTATCAACATCTTGTTTGAAACCAACTAATTTTAAATGATTTTGTTTTACTTGTAAAAGTACACGTCGTCGTCGAAAACCACCTGAATTTGAATATAGATCACGTACATATGCATGCCATGATTCGCTTGCTAAACAACGTTTATCATCTTTATCTAACATTATTGAACTAACACGTACATCATGACGAAGTATATCATAGACACGGTCACAACTTTCACGTGTTAAACCATATAAAACAAGTTTATTATGACCACTCGTTATTGATGATGTATCAAGACTATTGATGCTTCGTGGTGGAGATGCTGAATTTCGTCGATGATTATTATTTGAACGTTCAATTTCATAAGCACATACATGATCTGTATGCATTAAATTTCCGATTATTAATTCGACTAGATAAAAAAGAATATTTTTTCTTGTGTGTCTTTTATGAAGTGAAACTAAGGGATAGACGGAAATTTTCTAGACAAAAATATTTGAAATATTTTTCGCGTATTTAAATGTATTGGTAATATATTAGAATCAGGATTATGTGCTTTTTCGGAGTATATGATTAGAATTTTTCTATGAGTTTGGACTATTTAACTATAAATAAATCTTAACATGGCTCAAACAAATTTTCTGAAGAAAATTCTGCTTCTTGTAGACATCACATAAGTTCTATGAATATATCGTGCTTTAGGATGCTCTGTATTTTACAAGATGATGCAACAACGAAGAGATTCGATACATCCGCTAAAACATGATAGAATTATGACAAAGTATCATTTTGCGCTAACAAGTTGAAAATCGTGAAAATAAACATTTTTCATACGATTGGTTTTATAAAAGCCTTTACCTCACCTCAAGAGCTTGTAAAAAAGCTACCGCTTTGTAGAGAATTACTCTCTCTATGTTCCAATATATTCGATAAAATTTTCGGTGTGCCTTAGAAAACTTTCTTTTGAAATTTTTCCTTTAAAAAAAAAATATTCTTTCAAAACTTATTTATAGCCAAAAGTCACCGAAAAATTCTAAACATATACTCTGGAAGAGCACAAAATTCTGCTTGTAATATACTAACAATGCATTTAAAATTTGCGAAATTTAGTTCAAATATTTTGTCTAGAAACTTTCTGTCTATCCCTTAAAAATAAAATTGTTTTCTTTACCAGTATCAGGATTTGATAGAAAAACTGCCATTTCTTTTCCTATTTTATAATGTTTATGAACCATACCATTAAGTACAGATTCAAAATAATTTTTACAAATAGCTACTTGATCAGATGGACCACATAAATGAACTCGTCTGCCTGTTCGATCAATATCAATTCTTAAGTCTAAATATGTTCTTCGAGCTAAATCAACAAAACGCATTGAAAGTAAATCAAGTTGATATAAACGTAAATTTTCAAGATGATCATTAATAGTCATTTTTGATAGTGTTGAAGGTAATTCAGAATTATGTGTACTTTGTCTTGATGGTGATGAACCAAGTAATAACGATGATCGATGATTATTTACTTTTGGATCACGTGTTGTACTCACTGGTTTACTACGATAAATAGCATCATTGAGAGGTATAATATTATCAGTATTTATATTTGGTAATGAGAGCACATTAGTAAGTTCATTTAAAGCTCGATCAAGATGCTCTTTTAATGCTGTTATAATAATGTGATCTGGTTGATATTCTGAAGGAGATAATTGCATAAGACGTGTATTATCTTTTAAAGAAAGATCTGCAAGTTGTTCTGCAACAATTGCTGGTATTTTATTATTATTCCACGGTACTTTATGAATAATAAGACGTTCTGTTAGAAAATTTTCAATTAATTTGTCAATATCTTTTGTCCATTGTAAACGACGTTTTGCTGTTGAACGTGAACCATTGAATATTATTTCTAAAGTACCTTCTGTTTGTAAACTAACTTGAGCATTTAATGATTTTAATTGTTCACGAAGTTCATCAAGTAATGGGCGATTTTTAAGTAAAAATAAATATCGACTATCATCGAATGCACGATAACGTAAGGGATCTGGTTGCTTATCAATATTAGATGCATCAATAAATGGTTCAATACCCATATATTTATAATAAATTCTGACATCTAGACGATGACCATGTATCGAATGTTCATGCTTAATAACACGACGTACATCTAAAATGAAATCATTTATTATTAATAAAAAAAAAAAAAAGTCGAAAAACCAGATTTTTCTTTTCTTTTTTTAAAACCTTTATAATCAGCAAATGTGACGAGTGCATGTTGATATTCATCATCAAATGCAACATCAATCACTTGTCCACCATTACTACGACGTCGATTTGAAAAATATAACTCCAGCACATCACGTGATATATCTGATGGTAAATTTCGTATCATTATAGTTGCTGGTGGTGTAACTTCAACTAAAGAAATTTCAGAATCGTTTAATTTTGGTCGCATTGTATGACGACGGCGTACTTCCGCCATATCTTAATAAATACAGATTATTATTTATTTTCATAAACAAAACAAAAACAAAAGTTTTCTTTTTTTCTCTGTAAACTAACCTAGTTCAGTTTTAAAAGTAACCATTGCAGTTGTATCTTCAATATTAGAATATTCAATTCGTTCTATTTCAGCTTCACCTGATAAATTTTCTATATAAAGTTCGAGATACTCTCGAATAAGATCAGTAGGTAAATTAAGTAAAATTAAACGGCGTAAATCAACACCATTTGAACGTGATACTGATGATGAATTATTTATTACTTTTGAATTTTTCAATGGTATTGCATTGGGTCCAAATACAGCAGTATCAGTAGCATTGAATGATTGAGGACTATTCGTTGATGAATATTGTGGCATAAGAAGTGATGATGATGATGATGTTGATATTGTTGGAGCAGTAGGATATTGTTGATAGTGTGAGGGATAATGTGCTTGCATTGGCAGTGTAGGACCTTGCTGCATATTGAATAGCTAAGATGCTCTTCAAAACAAACTAAGTTTTAAAGTTGCGCAAAAAGTTAAAGAGGGGTGATTTTTTTAAGCTTATGTTAATTTTTCTTCTCTATCGAATGAAGTAGATGAGGATATAAAAAAGAGACACACATTCTCTATCTCTGATTCTCTTTTTCTCTTTAGTGAACAACGAGAACGTATGCACACAATCTATGAACCGTATCGCAACAACGTATTTTAACTTAGTCGACTCACATCTGCCTAGGCTTTCGCTTCATTTTTCTGCTTGTATATAAAGAAAGCGACGAATCTTGTAAAAAAAATGGCCCGCTTGATTGGCTTGTCAGGTATGCATCGATTTACATATACATGATTGATAATTGGAGGACATTGGTTAGAATATTCATTATGATCACACATCCTACTAACAATATCCATTTTGTACCAATCAAAGAAACATTAGTGTAATTAAAATATATAGTTGTCTATTTTGCATCTAAATATGTATGTCGAATGATAATTAAGTGATTCAAGGTAATTGTATCGTTGTTAGAAGTATCTATTTTGTCAATGTATGATAATTAAATTCAATGTTATTTTTTAATTAGAATACTAATTTATTTAGAAAGAAAACTATTAGAAAAAGAATTACTATTGAAAATAATATTTTAATTATTTTCTTTTGGTTTTTACGTTTTCGATATGTTTTTAAATCGATTATTTCTTTTGTTAAATCTCGAATATCGTTTGAACCATTATAACCACATTCATTTGGTGGATAGATAAGTCGTATTTTTTCATCATTTTCATGATCTTCAATAGCAACAAATTTTTCATTACGTAACGATGAATATCTTCCTATAGGATAGTCACCAATAGCACATCCATTGGAATCAATTCGATATTGTTCAAGTAATTTTTCAGCTTGATCGACATAATCAAGATATCGATCAAGTGGAATTTCATCTTTACGTGTTAAGTCGTGCATTGCATATATATCTCCTGTGTTTGCCAATGTCCAATCAATCATATATTTTGGTTGTGTTAAATTATTACTAGAATAAAGCATTGTTTGATGAATTTTTAATGTATTTTCATAGAGAAGTATGTAAACAGTGATTTCACGTCCATACATATGTTTAGGCCATTTATTTTCAAAATCTTTCCAGCTATCTGGATATCGAGCTTTGAGACCCACAGGTAATTTCATATTATAATAGAGCTCTGAGAGAAGATTAAATGCCAAAGGAATATCACGAGGTCGAATGGAAAAATGTATTTTCCAATCGGCTGTAAGATGTTCACTAGAAGCTTGTGCAAGCCAATATCGACGAGCATTTAATGTAAATAAGCGAACAAATTGATTTGATGCACCCAAATAATAACCTGATCGATGAAGCATTCGATTTTCAACAAGTAATCGAACATAATCAAAATAGAATTCTTCTTGTGAATCTTTCTCTTGTTGCATACTTACAATGATTCATGAAATGACACGTAGATTTGTCTCAAATAACTTTGTTTTATATTTATTATGTTCGGTATTACTTTCTTTTCTTTTATTTTTACGTCAAAAAACAAACGTAACAATGAATCAACAAACACACATGAAAATTTTCTTTTCATTTTCTTTTTCTGTTAGTCATCTGAATCATCGAATTTTATTGAATACGAATTAACTGAATCAATTTTACCACCATGATATGAACCACGTTTCTTTTTAGTTTTTTCATGACGAAAACTTTTACCACGAGTATTTTTTAAATCAGTATTTGCTTTTTCACCCCATGAGCCACGTGCACCAGCCTATAAAAATATGATATATGAAAATTAAATTTAAAAACAAAAAGAAAATCTTTTACCTTATGTTCAAATGCATTTTTACCAATTTTTTCTAGATATTTTAGATCAGCATCTTCTTCACGAACACGTCGAAATGGTGATGTTTTACGCTACAAAAATCGAAAATTATATTTTATAATAAAAATTTCATTTAACTATACGAACCTTTTGTTTATCATTATTTTTTGAAACAGTCATCTAAATAAATAATCAAAGTAAAGCAAACAAAGATAATAAAGAAAAAAAAATGAAAACAGACTTCTTGATTATTTGTTTTTGTTGTATCATTGGTAGATACATTATTAGATGGTTTGTCCTCTTCGGAATCACTATTTGATGATGATGATGATGATGCTTTACGTTTTAAAGGACCATTACCATTGATTGATGTAACAGATGGTTTGGTTACAGCTGAACCTAAATGAAATAAAATTGATTGATTTCAATATAAAAATAGAATAAAAGGGTTCTATCGACTAAAATGATCACTCTTAATTTGAAAAGTAGTCTCTAATATTTTGTTGAGTAAATCGTTCTGCGTCGAATGACATTTACGAAGTTACTTTTTCATGAAGTTTTATTTTACTGAGAAGTCATTAACCAAGTAAGGAATATTGTATTGATTGCGTATTATGTGACCAAATATTGAGACTCAATGTCTCCAAACTAACTTCTATCAGATTTTGTTTAAAACTATTTTCATAGAGTTTTGCTTCATCTTCAGTCTTGTATATCTAACAATATTCAAAATAGCTTCCTTCGTACCAAAAATTTTAGCACTTATCCTAGTTTCTGTACCTGTATTGGCATTTATTATCTTTGAAATTCTTCTTTACTAACACTTACTATTTGGTCATATAACGCACAATTACTATAATCTCCTTTAACTGGTATATGACTTTTGAAAACATTTAAGTTTGATAAAAAAAAAAGCAATTTCCTATATACGATTCGATGGACGCCTAGCTACTCTACAAAACGATAGAAGTGACATGTCAGCTGAAGAATAGTCATGTTATTTGGCAGGAGCCATTGATTATACAAACCATTGACAAGAGATTTTTTGTTTGTTGTTGGTTTATCATCATCAGAATCGCTACTACTACTTGATGAAGCAATCTTTTTATTATTATTTGAGAGATTAGTTGATTGAGCTGTTGGTTTATTGACAACACTAGGTTTTTTGTTTGTTGGTACATCATCATCATCCGAATCGCTACCACTTGATGAAGCAGTTTTTTTTAATGATTGTTGACTAGATTTTGTAGTTGGTACAGATTTAGCGGCTACGACTGATGTTTTCTGCTTAGTATCTTCATCGGATGAATCGGAATCAGATGATGAATCTTGTTTCTTATTATTAGAAACTTTTGTTGATGGAATAACAGCAACTTTGTTGACGACTGGAGTTACATTAGCTATCAATGAAAAGTTAGATGTATAGAAAGCAAATATTAAGACAAAAAGAATACTTTTATTTGGTATCGATGGTGTTTGTTTTTTATTCACTGGTGGTGCAACATCATCATCTGAATCTGAACTACTTGACGAAGGTGCTTTGCGTTTGGTCGATTGAACAGATGTAGCTACATTTGGTTTAGCTGGTTGTTTCTTGTCATCTTCATCAGATGAATCAGAAGTAGATGTTTCTTGTTTTTTCTTATTATTAGTATTTGATACAGCAGAACTTTTAGCAATCGATTGAATGGCAGGTGTAGTAGGAGCTAAAGTATTAGAAACACAGATCTCTACAGAACTATTTCGAAATACGGTGAATCCTACTTTTCACAGATGAACTTTGTTGTGTTGGCTTTTTGTTAGTAACTGTATCATCGTCTGAATCACTACTACTGCTAGAGGCAGCAGGCTTCTTTGTTGTTGGTGTAGGAACAGGTTTAGCAGCTGAAATAGTTGGTTTTGTTTTACTCTTGTCGTCATCTGAAGAATCTGAATCAGATGATGAGTCTTTCTTTTTAGTATTTGATGCCATAGCTTGTGTTGATACGACAGACTTTTTAGCTACTGGTGTTACAGCAACTAAATCACATACAAATCATCATTTATATACTTTCTCAATGAAAAGCATTTTACCTTTAGATGCAGCTGTTTTTTTCGCTGATGTATCATCATCTGAATCACTACTGCTGCTTGATGGAGCAGATCTTTTAGTTGGTTGTTGAACTGGAGTAGATGTTGATAATGGTTTAGCTGCTACAGTAGTTGTCTTTTTCGTTTTGTCTTCATCATCTGATGAATCAGAATCAGATGAACTATCTTTCTTTTTTATAGATGCTGTAACTGAGCTTTTAGTTACCGGTGTGACTGGTGCTAGAAAGATAAACAAACTTAGCACTGATGCTCGCTTGATTCGAAAAAAATACATACCCTTTGATACAACTGGTTTCTTAGCAGCTAGTTTATTATCATTATCATCTGAATCACTGCTATCTGATGAAGCAGGTTTTTTTACTGGTTGTTGAACTGGTTTAGTAGTTGTTGATGTTTTTACTGGTACTTTTTTCTTAGTATCTTCATCTGACGAATCCGAATCGGATGATGAATCTTTTTTCTTCTTATTCGAGGCAGTAGCCGGTGGTGGAATAGCAGCTTTTTGTGTCACTACAATGAAATCATGAGTTCAAATGTTTTCGAAATAAACAATAGTTACCCTTTGATGGAATTGGAGTCTTGTTTGTTGGTTTATCATCATCATCTGAATCACTGCTATCTGATGAGACAGCTTTTTTAACTGGTTGTTGTACTGGTTTAGTAGCTGTTGGTGCTTTTCCTGGTACATTTTTCTTTTGCGTATCATCATCAGATGAATCAGAATCTGATGAAGAATCTTTTTTCTTATTATTCGAAACAGTAGCTGTTGGTGGTATTGCAGCCTTTGTCACAGTTGGTGTAGCTATAAAGAATGAATGAACACAACATATATCAGATACGATTGGAACAAAAATATGTACCTTTTGATACAGCTGGTTTATTATCATCATCATCTGAATCACTGCTATTTGATGAAGCTGGTTTTTTGACTGGTTGTTGTGCTGGTTTAGTAGATGTCGGGGCTTTGACTGGTGCTTTCTTTTGTGTATCATCATCTGATGAATCAGAATCTGTTGAAGAACCTTTTTTCTTAGTATTTGAAAGAGAAGTTGGTGGTGGTATAGCAGCTTTTTGTGTTGCTAGAATGAAACCATGAGATACATCTCTTAGAAAGGAAGAATAGTTACCTTTTGATTGAGCTGGAGTCTTCTTTGGTTCATCATCATCTGAGTCACTGCTACTTGATGTAGCTGGTTTTTTAACTGGTGATTGAGTTGGTTTAGCAGTAGTTTGTGTTTTTACTGGTGCTTTTTTCTGTTTATGGTCATCTGATGAATCAGAATCGGATGAAGAATCTTTTTTCTTGTTATTTGAAACAGAAGCTGGTGGTGGTACTACAACTTTTGTTACAGTTGGTGTAGCTGTAAAGAACAAGTTCATATAATTACGTAAGATATGAATCGAAGTTATATACCTTTTGATACCACTGGCTTCTTGGCAGCTGGTTTATTATCGTCATCTGAATCACTGCTGCCTGATGAGACAGTTTTTTTAACTGGTTGTTGTGCTGGTTTAGCAGTTATTGGTGATTTGACTGGTGCTTTCTTTTGTGTGTCATCATCCGATGAATCAGACGAAGATGATGTATCTTGTTTCTTGTTCATAGCATTTGCTGGAGTAGTAACAATGGGTTTTTTTGTTGCTGGAGTAACGGGTGTAGTAGAGGCTTCAAATTTAGAATTAACAAAAATTACAGAGAATTTTAATCAGGTAGAATTCTTACCTTTAGAAGCTGTTTTTGATGGTTTCACATCTGAATCACTACTACTTGAACTACTTGGTTTATTGGTTTTTTTCACTGGTACTGGAGCAACTTTGGCAGATTCTTTATTATTAGCTTCATCTGATGAATCTGAAGATGAGGATTCCTTTGCTTTTTTATTTGGCAAAGCTGCTGATTGTTGTGGTACAAGACCTTTTTTCGTAATTGTAACAGCAGCGGTACCTAAAAAATAAAATATTCAAGTGAATGATTCAAATAAGATTAGATAGAAGAGTACCTTTTAGTGGTGTTTTTACTTCTGTTTTATTATCATCCGAATCACTACTACTGCTCGATGCTGCCTTTTTCTTTGAAGCAGTAGGAATCATTTTAGGTTTATTGGCAAGTGCTGTCGATGGTTTTTTCTCATTCTCGTCTGACGAATCTGAATCAGATGATGAGTCTTTCTTTTTAGTATTTGATGCCATAGCTTGTGTTGATACGATAGGTTTTTTAGCTACTGGTGTTACAGCAACTAAATCACATACAAATCATCATTTATATACTTTCTCGATGAAAAACATTTTACCTTTAGTTGCAGCTGCTTTTTTAGCTGGTGCATCGTCATCTGAATCACTACTGCTGCTTGATCGAGCAGATTTTTTACTCGGTTGTTGAACTGGAGTAGATGTTGATAATGGTTTAGCTGCTACAGTAGTTGTCTTTTTATTTTTGTCTTCATCATCTGATGAATCAGAATCAGATGAACTATCTTTCTTTTTTATAGGTGCTGTAACTGAGCTTTTAGTTACCGGTGTAACTGGTTTCTTGTTTGCCGGTTTATCATCATCATCTGAATCACTGCTATCTGATGAAACTGCTTTTTTTACTGGTTGTTGAATTGGTTTAGTAGTTGTTGATGTTTTTACTGGTACTTTTTTCTTAGTATCTTCATCTGACGAATCCGAATCGGATGATGAATCTTTTTTCTTCTTATTCGAAACAGTAGCTGGTGATGGAATAACAGCTTTTTGTGTCACTAGAATAAAAACATAAGTTCAAATATTTTCGAAATAAACAATAGTTACCCTTTGATGGAACTGGAGTCTTGTTTGTTGGTTTATCATCATCATCTGAATCACTGCTATCTGATGAGACAGCTTTTTTAACTGGTTGTTGTACTGGTTTAGTAGCTGTTGGTGCTTTTACTGGTACATTTTTCTTTTGCGTATCATCATCGGATGAATCAGAATCTGATGAAGAATCTTTTTTCTTATTATTTGAAACAGGAGCTGGTAATGATACTACAGCTTTTGTTACAGTTGGTGTAACTGTAAAGAAGAAATTCATATAAACAGGTAAGGTATGAATCGACGAAAGATATGTACCTTTTGATACGGTTGGTTTTTTAGCAGCTGGTTTATCATCATCGTCTGAATCACTGCTATCTGATGAAGCAGCCTTTTTAGCTGGTTGTTGTGCTGGTTTAGCAGTTGTTGGTGCTTTAACTGGTACATTTTTCTTTTGTGTATCACCATCAGATGAATCAGAATCTGATGAAGAATCCTTTTTCTTATGACTGGAAAGACTAGCTGGTGGTGGAATAGCAGCTTTTTGTGTTACTAGAATGAAATGATAAGTTCAGTTTGTTCGAGATGAAAAATATTTACCATTTGATGAAACTGGTCTCTTATTTGTTGGTTGACCATCATCATCCGACGAATCAGAATCTGATGAAGAGTCCTTTTTCTTGTTATTTGAAAGATTTGTTGATGGTGGTAGAGTAGTTTTCTTGACGACGGAAGCATCATTAGCTTTAAATAAAACACGTAAAATTGGAGAAGAGCGTGAAAGAAAAATTACTTTTAATAGACGTAGCTGGTGTTTGTTTTTTATTTACTGGTGGTGCAGCATCATCGGAATCTGAACTGGAACTAGTTGATGAAGCTGCTTTACGTTTCAGATCAGTTTTAACTGGTTGTGTGGTTTTTGAATTTACCGATGGTTTTTTCTTATCATCATCATCACTTGAATCTGATGAATCTTTCTTTTTATTATTTCCATTTGATAACAATGCCTTTGGTGGAGGTATTGCTGCCTTCTTTTGAATTTGAGTCGAAACTAGGATTTAAAATTTCGCATATATGTATATATATATTATCTTCATTGTACGAAAAAATTCTATTACCTCCTTTCTTCACAGGTATATCATCATCGGAATCATCACTGGTGGATGATTGCCTTGATGAAGCTTTTTTTGTTTGTGTTGCAGCAAGGATAACCATCTAAAATTCGTTTTTTTGGAAATAAATATTCACTGACTCACAAAAATAAATAGACGCATTTTATGTAATACAAAGAGAAAAAAAGAAAGAAAGGCAATAAGTTAAAACGTAGACTATGAACGTCCCCCACAAAAAAAAGAAGAGGAAAACATTTTTGAATAAAGAGAAGATCCATCTGACCCCCATAAATTTTGGTTCATATTATCAAAAATATTCGCATTTCATTATAAATAATTGATTTTCTTCACGTTTAATATATGTTAATATACGATCAATACATAATGTAACTGTTTCTAATGTAACCAATGGTGAAAATACTGCATGCATTTCAAAACCTGGTGCTAACTAAAAATTAAAAAAACAAACAAACTAACGATTTAAAAAAAAGAAAGAAAGAAAGTTTTATTTTAACTAACCCATCCAAGTAATGCTTCATGTTCTCCAGTATAATAGACAATTTTTAATTGATGATTTGGATCATGTAAACGTCCATATACATAACGTATTAATTCAAATAATCTAACATGTTGTTCAGTTGTTGTATAAGGTGCTAATAATTTTGATGATGTATATTGACTTAAACCACGTGATTTATATGCAAAATATCTTAATTCATTACAAGCTATTTCATCAGATAGAAGACGATCTTTTCCTAAGGCTATTTTTATTTGTACTATTGCATTAGCTTTTTTTAATTTCTAAAAATTTTCAAACCAAAAAAAGAACTTAAAAGAATTACAAAATAAAAATTTGTTTTCACCTCTCCAATACGTTGTTTAAAATCTGATAATATTTGAAAATGTTCAGGATTAACAGTCATTAAAACAAGACATATATCACAACTATCATCTAAATATGATATATGTGCATGAAGACAACCTCTAAAATAATCTTTATTAAAAAAAAAAAGAAAACAAACAATTTGATTTATAGTCATACCCTGAATCAAATCTTGGTAAACAAACAGGTACCCAAGATTCTACACCTTTAAATGCATCCGAACTATTAACAAGATTAATAAGTAAATAAAGATCAGATGGATGTAAATGATAATTTTTTAAACGAGCTATTGATACAAGATGATTATGAGCAAGTATTATAGCAAATATCATGTCCTCAAAAGCAAAAAAAAAGGAATCTTTTATTTAATGATATAAACCAAAAATTTACTTTTTGACCACGAATTGTTTGTGCAACTATTTGTCCGATTTGAGTTCGTATATTTGATGATAATATTAAACATCTAGCACAAGTCATAACCATTCCTAAATCATGTTCATATAGATCTATTATGTTATGTAGAAGTTTTTTTTCTGCATTAGATAACCAACGACGTAAATCAAAATTAGGTTGAATTGAAAATTTTTGTTTTATACGACTTAATGTTAATGTACTTATTATTTGATGATAGGCATATGTTAATTGTTGAGTTAAACATATTGGATGTTCATTTATATAAGAGATTAAAACAAATATTAATGGTTCTTTATGTAAAAATGCTATACGACAACGACCAGCTTTTATATAATTTATTTGATTTGAATCAGTTAATTCAACAAATGAAACAAGTGTTTGCATAACACCCATTAAGGTTACTAAATGTTCATCATCACCATATCTAAATTTTGTTTATTAATGTAGAAAATTAAATATGAAAATAGAAAACTTTTCAATTTACCTTGTAAAAACAGGTTTACCATTTTCACTTAATATAAAAAGATGTTTTAATTTAGTTTTTAATAAATTCAACTGTATATCATCTTCATTATCATCATTTTCATGATGAATTTCTTCTTCAATATTTGTACTTTCTACAATTGGTGTTGAACTTGTTCCACTTGTTGTTGTATCATCATCAACAGAATAATAACTTGTGGAATCATCAGCTAATATCTATATACCACTGAGAAAAAATAAGAATGTTATCTCCAAAAAAAAAATTATTTCAGACTAATTCTTACGGTATTTGATACATCATTATTAGCTGTTTCTGATTGTAATGGTGGCATAGAATTTCTTCGTATTAAATTAATTAAACCAGTTGATGGTTCATTATCATCTTCGAATATTGCTGATTCATCTTGACTTTCTTGGGAATTTTCAGATGATGGTAACTTTTCAAGCATTGTTGTTAATTCATCTATACTATCATTATGTTTTGCTTGTAAAAGATTAACCATAGACGTTGTCATCATCTGCAAAAAAAAAAAAAAAAATACAAACAAAAAAGAAATTTTTATTTTTTAAATATAGAATTAATTTGTTGATGTTCGACGATTTGTTCTTCGTCGTCGTTTCGTAATACGTGTTTTATTATTATTATCAAATTGTACACGAGAAAATGGTTTTTTATTAAATTTTTTTCTTATTGTTTTTACTAAAGTTGTGTTATGTTTTATTTCAATATCTTCATTTATAGATGTTTTTTCATTTTCATCATTATCACTTGTATCAATTTCACCATCTTCTAAATTATTTATTTCTTGTTTAAGACCATATTTAATCATTAATGGTTCTATTCGTTTATTATAATTTTGAAATGACAATCTTGTGAAATTACGATCATGTATTGAAAAAATACTATTACGATAGTTTATTGATGGTTGATTTTGATTTACTGTTGGGATTTGAGAGGATAGATTTATTTCATTTTTAATTATACGCCAACACCCTGGATGATCAGGTGTCAGAATTATAGGATTTGATGGAGGAATAGGATTCGTTTGTGATGTTGTTGATGGTTTTTTAAGTGACTTCTTTCGAGACTCAGAAGTTCGTTGCATGAACTTCATATTACGAAGTGTATTCGATAGATCCGACATCATTAGAAAAGAGAACACGTGAATATTTTGCTTTCTATTTCTATATGAAATCAACTTTTGCTCTTAATGTTATTTATTCTTCGAGAAGGGTAATTTTAAAATTGTTTATATGAACTAAGTAATAACGAATGAATTATTGTAGTTTTATTATTATGTAAGAAATTCAATAGGAAAAAAATATTTTTTTTTAAATTAATTAAATAGATAAGATTTTCATGATATTTGTGTTTAATTATTTGGAGTCTTTATAGATGTCACTATCATACAATCATGATGCTAGTTGAATTATTTTATAAAAGAAAACTGGCAACAATTTGATCTTTTATGTTTTCTTTTGAGATGAATGGTAGAAAAAGAACTGAGTTTTATTGAAACATAAAAAGAACAATATACAGAGCGATTCATCAGACATATATTGAATTCCATCACGTTTTTATCTCTTTCGGTGTTCTTGTATCAATTGTTTTAAATGATTCTGTTCGTAATATGTTCTTTTCTTTTAAGTACCGAATTGACATTGAAACGATAAAAGATAGCTTGATAAAAATGTACCACTACTTAACACACATATCATCAAAGATAAGCGTTGATATATTGCTCCGTATAACATTATCAGTGCGTAATATATATATCCACAACATTAATTTACTATAGACGAAATTGATCCTAGTATACATATGAAATATAAACAACAATCCTATTCGCTTTGTATTTTCATAGTTATTGAGATCTGCACAAATTTATCTTTTAAGAAACAAAGAGCTAATGAGAAAAAAATACGATTGAATGATATTGCTTTTTGCATAAAATTGTTTTTTTTTTGAAAGTAATATATCGCCTCCTCCTTCTAACTTATGACACCATATAGTTGTCCATGACTAATTGGCTTCATTGTTTGATACTTATCCATAAGGTACTGCGTGCAAACCCCATGGATTGACTCCGACAAAATTGCTAGTAGCTATTCGTTTCTGGTCACCTGTTTGATAGCAAACTCCCTAAGTTGTGATACAGATCTGTTCTTGTGCCTAGTTAGTGTCTATAGAATCTCAAGTAATTCAGCGCAAGGAGTTTGCGTTAGATTAGCATTCTGTTCAAAGCTACAGCTAGTCATAGCTGTAGGGAAGATATTGAGATATTGGATTTGCCTCTAGACAGTACTCCATATTGCAAGGTAATTGAAAAGCAGGGTTACTCTTTTTTCCTTCTAATGACCATACAGTCAACTAATGCGACTAACTACTATGAACAGTTGACATATTGGTGAACTGTTTGATTATATTCGTTTGTAATGTCAAAGACATTTGTCAAAAGATAATGTGAACACGAACTGTCTTCAAATATATTTGTTCTTATACATACAGTAACTTTTATAACGGTAGGTTCTCTGAAAATTTTCAAACAAAGTTGTCTTGAGATCGGATTCTTATAAAACCATCAATTACCATCATCTTTAAAAATGTTTATTGGAAATAAAATTTTCCGTTTAGATCACTACTCAGATTCTTATTAGTATTTGTAGCAGTGGAAAAAAATAAACCTAGTCGAATAATTTTGAGAGTCACTGTATACATTTATATATACTTGTCATCTACTTTGCAAACATTTGATTAAGTTTATATAGACAGTAATGCATTGCTTTCTAACCTTTTATGAGATATGAGAGAATGAACTGATACAAAAGGAATCAATCAATCATACATATTTCAGATCTGTTATGTAACTTGTATCCATAGATCGTTTTAATAAATAATAGGTTGCCAGTAATTGATGATTCCAAACACTATACATGTATGCTTGAGGATCAATATATCAAACAAATGTGTTGGCATATTCTCTTCAAATATGGATATATTCGTCTTATGTTTGGTTTTTGTGTGAAGATCAATGAACTTAATTTTGAGTTGAAGTCATATTTATAAATCAATAGTTTCTTCAACATATTCTCAACCAATAGAATATCTATAAAGATTATCAATTGATTCTATTTCCAACTAGTTCTCTAATATCAGTATCGAGAACAACTTGGAATTTTACTGATTATGTTAATTTATTTCAGCTCAAAGCGGTAATAATGTTATCGATAATGTGAGGCTGGTTTTGTAGTTGATTTTTTTCAAAATGATGAAATAAATTAAGACGTAATTGATTTCTTGTTTTTTTAAGTTGTCGCAGAAG